TAAGTGCCTCATCTATTTTACTTTTAACCTGAATATGAATGTTTGTGTGTGTTGTGGGGAGGGATGTATTAATTTTAAAACATCTGCAGTGTTTTTAAAATTCATTGATCCAATGCAGTATGTGGTTTCATCAGGTCTCATGCCTCTCAGCAATGCCATTTTCTTGCTGTTGCCCATATCAGCATTCCACACGATTTGGTCTTTGTCTGGCTGAAAGAGGTGCACACAACAAATAAGAATATTAATGACATGTTTCTCTCTCTTTCACCCCCTCCACCTATTTCACCTTCTGCACCTTGGATGTAAAACAAAAACAATCTGGTTTTCAAATGTTTCTTCCCCAAACGTATTTATGCAAGCTGTTACGAACGAAGGTCAGTGCATGTTCTAAACTGGCTTGTCACTTTACAGAACCCTTGTCAGTCTAAGATGTGCTGAGGTTAATTTTGGCACTTCAGAAGGAATCATAATATTTGGCTGAGGCGTTTGCATAGGCAGAAGGCAATTGCCAGTACCACTCCCCCCCTCAAAAAAGTATTCAGGGTTACTTTTTCCTTTCTCTACTTACAGCTCCCCCCCCCCCCCCACAAACATTTCGAACCATCCAGCAGTAGCATTCTGTCTGGTCCTCATGTAATGAAGGAGGGTTTTCTTGCTTTAACACCTTTGTGTTTATTTTCTTATATTTATACTCCGCCTCTCTTCCTTCATGGAACTAGCAATGGGAAAATCTTTTATTTTACATTCCCTACTGAAAAACAAAAAGTACAAAATTACAAGTGCACAGGGTAAGATAAGGCACAAAAAAAGAAACAAAAATACCCTTGTAGGAAACAAAACAGGAAAAAAGATATTGTGTACATTACAAAAAAGATAGGAAAAAAAAGTTTTGGTAGTTAACCAGACCTTAATCTAATATGGTATTTATAAAAACGAATTCCCAATATCATTAAATCTGCCCGTGACAAGTCTACGTTTGTACACAACTTGTTCATGTGCAGCGAATTTGTACACATCTTCAAATCAATAATTATGGGAAGCCACGTTTTTATTTTCCCAGTGATTTGCAAATCTGACCATTTTGCTTTCTTGCAGTTTCTCATTTCCCCACTAAATTCAGTTCCCCACATTTCCATATCAAGTTTGTAATATAGTTTGAGCCCACCCAGGGATGGCTGCGGGCAAGATTCCTGCATTGCAGAGGGTTGGACTAGATGACCCTTGGTGTCCCTTCCTACTCTACAATTCTGTGAAGTGTGTCGTGGGCCATGCCACCTTGAATGTCGTCCTGATACAATTTGGCGGAAACAGGTGCATCGATGGGGAAAACACTGCCAAGTTCATCAGTACGTTTCCGAGCACAATTCAAAGTGTTGGTGCTGACCTTTAAAGCCTTCTTGGTAGAGGGCCTTCTTGGTAGTGGCACCTGCCCTGTGCAACGCCCTCCCACCAGATGTCAAAGAGAACAACAATTACCAGACTTTCAGAAGACATCTGAAGGCAGCCCTGTTTAGGGAAGCTTTTAATGTTTGATGCATTATTGTATTTTAATATTTTGTTGGAAGCCGCCCAGAGTGGCTGGGGAGGCCCGGCCAAAGGGGCGGGGTATAAGTAATAAATATTATTATTATTATTATTATTATTATTATTATTATTATTATCAGTTCAAATTCCACAGGCTTTCTGTTTTCCCCTTGAGGCCAGGAGAGGCCCCGAACACTTTGCAGGGTTTCTTTGTTCTCCTCTTTTATGGCTTATGTGGCAATCACTTCTACAACTGTCATGCTCCTCTGTTCCATGACCTTGACAGATCACACCCATTAATATCTCTTGCAGGGCAAAAAATAATTGAGTCTTGTAGATCTGCATATTATCCTGTGCTGAAGGCTCATTCTGAATTGAAGCTATTAATTTAGCCAGAGTGCTTTCATGACAAACACACTGATATGAGTCAGATATCTTCTTCCTTTGCTGTTGGTTCTCTACCTTTTTATTTTATCCTTACATTTGTTGTGAGGCTTTCTCTGGCTATACAGTGGTACCTCGGTTTAAGAACAGCCCTGTTTACAAACAATTCGGTTTACAAACTCCACAAAACTGGAAGTAGTGTCCTGGTTTGCGAAATTTACCTCGGTCTAAGAACAGAAGCCGAATGGTGGAAGGGCACCGGTGGCGGGAGGCCTCATTAGAGAAAGTGTGCTTCAGTTTAAGAACGGTTTCAGTTTAAGAACGGACTTCCGGAACAGATTAAGTTCGTAACTCGAGGTACGACTGTATATATAAAGGCCAGCTTGTCTCAGCATCACCCATCCCTTGAGTTAAGAATTCCCTAGCTTGTCATCTGATTTACAGTTCAACCTTCTACAAATCTACTCAGAAGTCAATCCCACAGAGTTCAGTGGAGTTTATTCCAGGTGAGTAGGCACAAGACTTTAGCCTTATCCTTGTGGGATAAGCAAGCAGGTGAAACACCTGAACCTTTGTAATTTGCGTTTTACGTCCCCATGTGGTTGACGTAGAACACTGAAGGACATCCGAGCTCATTGGCTCCAGAGGACCACTTCGCAAATTATATTTGAACGGTATGACAAAATGGACAGCGTGAATGCAAGGAATATGTGGATTACACAGGCACACTTCCTTTGCTTTTCTCTCTCTTTTGCTGAGGAGATGGCAATCTGTTTGTGTGTGTGCCTGATACAGTAAATGGACTGTGGACATATTTTCTAGACCCTCCAAGTGTCCCTGTTTTCCAGGGACGTCCCTGATTTAGAGAAGCCATCCCGGTTTCTGATTTGATCCCTGAATGTCCCACTTTTCCTTAGGACATCCCTATTTTCATTAGAGAAATGTTGGAGGGTATGGAGTTACCAACCCACAAGCCATCTGTATAGGGAAGGGTTTTTTTTTGAAAAAAATGTTTAATGTTTTATTATGTTTTTATATACATGTGGTACCTCAGTTTAAGAACAGTCTGGTTTAAGAACAATTTGGTTGACAAACTCTGCAAAACCGGAAATAGTGTCTTGGTTTGAGAACTTTACCTTGGTCTATGAATGGAAGCCGAACGGTGGAAGGGCGGTGGCGGCGGGAGGCCTCATTAGGGAAAGTGCGCCTCGGCTTAAGAACGGTTCTGGTTTAAGAACAGACTTCCAGAACAGATTATGTAAGTTCGTAAACTGAGGTACCACTGAATGTTGGAAGCTGCCCAGAGTGGCTGGGGCAACCTACTGTAGTAAGATGTGTGGGGTATAAATAGTAAAATTATCATTATAGAATGGGACGTTTCTATTTTCATTGGGGAAATGTTGGAGAGTATGACTTTCACGTGAGTGTGGACCTTTTTATGGATTATTACACTCTACTGAAGTCAAAGCTTGAGTTGGCTACCGTATTTTGAATCAATACATGGAACAAGCTCCCTTTGTTCCACTTTTTCCTTCCTTCCTTCCTTCCTTCCTTCCCTCCTTCTATATTCTACTTTTCCTCCCCATAGATCAAGGTGCTGCGTATGGTTCCCCCACTTTCGGTTTTATCTTCCCCATCTGGGAGAGAAAGGGACTGGCCCAAGGTTACTCTGCGAGCTTCATGGTTGAGTGGAGATTTGAATCCTGGCCTCCACAGTCCTAGCAAGAGAAATTTCAGTGGAGCAGAGTCGCATCAATAGCTCCTCAGCAGCAATACCCCTATTACTTACTGGGAAGGGATACTTGCTGGCTTGGAAATAGCTGAACACTGTTAAAGAGCCCTTATGAACCTGTTATTTTGCTTCAGCTAAAACACCCACTTTTGACTGCACTTGATCACTGTTATGTGGGTGAACATATCAGACAACACAGCGATTCTTCAAACAGCTCTTGTTTATTCACAGGTCAGAACAGAACAGAACTGAAGGGTTCAGCCAGCCTGCTTTTATAGAGCTCCACTAGAACGCAACAGCAACCATTTTCTGTAACTATCCAATCACTGAATGTCACTTTCAATCCCTTATTTGCATATGTGGACCTGAGTGAAAACTATCTACAGTATCCCGCTGCTGGCCCAGGGCGAGAACTTCAGTACATAACAATCACGATCAACTTGTTTCTCGATTTGATCCTTTGACATGGTTTTGTATGTTTTGTGATACGTATTTTATGCATTGTGACTGACCGTTATTTTCATTGATTATAGTTCAGGAATTCTTTATTGCAGTTAAACTGTTCAATTATTATTTGCTGATATTTAATTTTACTATGATATTCTAATGGATTATTGAATATTGCTTCATTTGATATAAGCTATTTGTTTTAAAGTGATGTTTTTTATTATGACTTTTTGTATTGGATCAGATGGTTATTATTGGGTGTGGGACCTTTGCAGTTTTGTTGTTTCTTCCGTTTGTAGTGATATAGAAAGGCCGTATGCAAATTTAAAGTGAAATGAAAATGAAACGATCTTCATTTCAACACCATTTTAAAGCTGCTTCTGCACGTAAAGGGTCAGATTTCCGTTTCCCCTCTCACTAACCAGTAGAGGGAGCTCTGAGAATTAAACCGTATCAATCCTCCTCTGCCAAAACTACTACAAACAAACAAACAAACAAACAAACAAACAAACAAACAAACACCAATAAATGGCCAAGCATTCGAAAACAGCACCTAGATATAGCTTGTATGGATTTTCCTGACACTTGACATTCTTAAGTGCATCTCTTTTTCTAACACGTTTCTTACTTTACCATAAACAGGTATTTGTGTGACTTATAGAAGCCTCAGACTCTCTAACTTGATAGCATATGCAAATGTTGTTTCTAGAGCTGTTGTTGCACTACAGTGGTACCTCGGGTTACAGACGCTTCAGGTTACAGACTCCGCTAACCCAGAAATAGTACCTCTGGTTAAGAACTTTGCTTCAGGATGAGAATAGAAATTGTGCTCTGGCGGTGCGACAGCAGCAGGAGGCCCCATTAGCTAAAGTGGTGCTTCAGGTTAAGAACAGTTTCAGGTTAAGAACGGACCTCCGTAATGAATTAAGTACGTAACCAGAGGTACCACTGTATAGTCTTCCAGAAAAGTACTGTAACAGAACGCTTACAGTGTCTGTTGGTACAGTGGTACCTCGGGTTAAGAACTTAATTCATTCTGGAGGTCCGTTCTTAACCTGAAACTGTTCTTAACCTGAGGTACCACTTTAGCTAATGGGGCCTCCCGCTGCCACTGCGCTGCCACCGCTGCCGCATGATTTCTGTTCTCATCCTGAAGTAAGGTTCTTAACCCGAGGTACTACTTCTGGGTTAGCGGAGTCTGTAACCTGAAGCGTCGATAACCTGAGGTACCACTGTATAGCATTTTTATTTTTATTTTTAAATGGATTCTGAAGCCAATGAATTTAGGGCACCACAACCAGTTCTGCCGCAATGGGCGCCAAGCTTAAGGGGCTCCGCAACTATTATGTAGTGAGTTGATCAGAACGGAAGGCGAGAGGCGGTAGGGGGTGCCACATTTTGGCCTTGCACTCCTGCCCCCCAAGCTGACCAGGGGGCAGAGGATGTGCTGAAGATCTTACGAATGGGGTACAGCGAATATTTTTAATCTGTGCTATTTTTCCAGAAAAAGAGGTGCTGGAACTCACCAGGAACACCTCCCTTGTTCTCTTGGAATGTTAATGGTACCCACCTGAGAGGGGCCCGGAATGGAGTTCTGCCAAGTTCCGGCTGGAAAGAAAGCCCTGCTCAAAGATTGCAGTTGATTAGTCCGAAGTGATTGCAGAATATATCTATATTGGCTTTAATCCAATTACCAGGATAAATTGCACTGTATATGCCACACCTTTTATCAGTAAAGAGAAACCATAGAGCTTTGTGTGAGGAATGACTTCACAATTGCTTCCTGTTTCTTAAACACAGATCAGAAGCACTTGCATTAATTGTGATACTGCTCTTTTTTATTATTATTATTTCAGGATTCAGAACTCAGCAGCTGTTAATTGGTGTTTTCTTCACCTCATAATGGTAGAAAATGTGTTTGAAACATTTCAGAGTGCACCTCGGAGGTGTTAAATATAGCAGAGGTGTCCCATTCTCCAACTTCCCCTCCGGCTAAGAGCTGCTCATTTAGGTCACATTTACTTAAGTAACCAGCCATTTGATCTTTCCCTGGGGGGCGTTCAGGGTTCTTTCTTTTCATCTTCTCCGCGTGCAGTTCCCAAATGGCTCCTTGAACACTTTATGGTTAATATTTGTGTTTATGGGCAAAAGGCTACACAATCTATGGCAAGGCAAATAAAAGCCACATTTATAAACTTCAATTACAGATAAAGAGTGACTAATAGACCTTGGATATGCCTGTTAAAAAGATTACGCCTGCACATATCCTCGTTACCCATCATTAAAACCTGGTTGTTGATGTATCATGGGCATTTTAGTTGCAGAAGGGTCTAATGATGGCTACATAAATATGCAAAATTATGTTGTTAATTGGAAAAATAATTAAATGTAAAGGTCTTGATGTTGTGGCAAGTAAGGCTATTTGGATTTGCAAAGTGGTATTCTCATAGACCCGATTTGTAGGGTAGCAGTCTCTCTCTCTCTCTCTCTCTCTCTCTCTCTCTCTCTCTCTCTCTCACACACACACACACACACACGTGTAATTATTACATGTTTCATTTTACAAAGAAAAAAAAAATCTATATAGGAGAATTAGAAATAAGGAACTACAGACACAAAAAAGGCCTTAAAAACATTACAGTCGTACCTTGGAAGTCTAACGGAATCCGTTCCGGAAGTCCGTTCAACTTCTAAAACGTTTGGAAACCAAAGTGCGGCTTCGGATTGGCTGCAGGAGCAGAATTGGAAGTCGCGGAAGCCCCGTCAGACATTCAGCTTCCAAAAGAACGTTCGTAAACTGGAACACTCAGTTCCGGGTTTCGATCGTTCAGGAGACGATTTGTTCAGGAACCAAGGTGTTTGAGATCCGAGGTACGACTGTAGTGGCATTTATAAGGTTGCAATCTTACCCATGTATACTTGGAAGCAGAATGAGTAAGGTGTTCATGGTGAGTTCTGGTACCTCTTTCTAGAAAAATGGCGCTGATTAAAAATATTTGTTGTACCCCACTCGTATGACCTTCAGCATAACCTCTGTCCCTTGGCAGAGGCAGGGGTGGACTTTGGCTTCCACTGAGCTCTGCACATTGTTGCTTAGCAACAAGACATCCATAGCGCTTCATCCTCCCCAGTGCCTCAAAGCAAAAGGAAGCTCCAGGGTCCATTGTTTCATGTTGGACCGTCCTGATTTAGAGTATTTCTTCCCGGCTTCTTGGCCGAAATGGCTCTCAGAGGGGTGTACATCTAACCACAGACAGCTTTCTGGGTCATGTGGCCAGCATGACTAAACCGCTTCTGGCACAACAGAACACTGTGACTGAAACCAGAGCACACGAAACGCCGTTTACCTTCCTGCCGGAGCGGTACCTATTTATGTACTTGCACTGGCGTGCTTTCAGACTGCTAGGTTGGCAGGAGCTGGGACAGAGCATCAGGAGCTCACTCCATTGCGGGGATTCAAACCTCCGACCTTCTGATCGGCAAACCCAAGAGTCTCAGTGGTTTAGACCATAGGTGGACAAACGCCAGCTCCCTCAGCCTGAAAGCGAGATGAGCACCGCAACCCTGTCATCGCCTTTGACTGGACGTAACCGTCCAGGGGTCCTTTACCTTTTTCTTTTTTCACAAATAACCAGTCAAAACAAGACAGTTCCCACTTGCAGGTCTATAGTCTTAAAAAAAGGACACACAAAGAAAAGGGACAAGGAGGGAAGAGGGGGGAAACTCAGGCACCAGTTCTTAAACGGTGGTTCTTCTAATGACCGACTAGCATAGTTGAAGGGTAGGCGGTGTCTGATGGAATTGGCTTCACCCAGGTGACAGTAGCGGGAGAGAAGAGAGATGACTTTCCATCTCACCCACTGATGGAATGGATGTGCCCAGATGTTGATTCAGACTGTTTTGTACAAAGGTAGCACAGACCAGAGTGACGCGTGTGGCGCTGTGAGTTAAACCACAGAGCCTAGGACTTGCTGATCAGAAGGTTGGCGGTTCAAATCCCTACAACGGGGTGAGCTCCCGTTGCTTGGTCCCTGCTCCTGCCAACCTAGCAGTTCGAAAGCACGTCAAAGTACAAGTAGATAAATAGGTACTGCTCCAGCGGGAAGGTAAACGGCGTTTCCGTGCGCTGCTCTGGTTCGCCAGAAGCGGCTTAGTCATGCTGGCCACATGACCCGGAAGCTGTACGCCGGCTCCCTCGGCCAATAAAGCGAGATGAGCACCGCAACCCCAGAGTCGGTCACAACTGGACCTAATGGTCAGGGTTCCCTTTACCTTTTATAACACAGACTAGTGGCGTCGCAAAGGGGGTGGGGTGGTGCACCCTGGGTGCCAAGTCTGGATGGGTGGCAAGAAGGCACCCTACAGGGTGCTCTCCCCGTTGTCCCCGGGAGTGGTGGCACAAGCAGCCATCGCGCCACCGCAGCCAGAGCCGCAGCCACGAGCAGAGGATTCCGCCACTGTCCGTACGGCGCTCGGGTGGCGCTGGCGGCAAACCGCTACGTACAACACACACAGTGTCGCATGCATGCACTGTACGTAGCGACGCCGCACATGCGCTGAACATAGCGGTTTGCTGCTGGCACCGCCCGAGCGCCGTACGGACAGTGGTGGGATCCCTCCATCGCCACTACAGTCGCAAGCGGAGGATCCATCCACTGCCGCTGCAGCTGCAAGCAGAGAATCCCGCCACCATCTGTATGGCGCTCGGACGGTGCTGGTGGCAAACCGCTACACACAACGCATGCGTGGTGTCGCACTCACGCGCTGCACGTAGCGACACTGCACATGCGCCCTACGTAGCAATGCCACGCATGCGTCGTACGTAGCGGCACAACACATGCGCAGCCAGCGGTTTGCCCCGCCCCGGGTGTTGGTTAGCCTTCGTTTGCCCCTGACACAGACTGCACACTCACTGAGTAACAGCAGCAGCAGCAGCAGCAGCAGAAGCAGAAGAAGAAGAAGAAGAAGAGTTTGGATTTGATATCCTGCTTTATCACTACCCGAAGGAGTCTCAAAGCGGCTAACAATCTCCTTTCCCTTCCTCCCCCACAACAAACACTCTGTGAGGTGAGTGGGGCTGAGAGACTTCAAAGAAGTGTGACTAGCCCAAGGTCACCCAGCAGCTGCATGTGGAGGAGCGGAGACGCGAACCCGGTTCCCCAGATTACGAGGCTTCCGCTCTTAACCACTACACCACACTGGTACAACAGGTGAATAACAGCCTGAGTCTACAGCTCAACTAGTTGTCTTCGCAAATTGTACACTTGCTGAATGTTACATGTGAACACCCTTTCAACTGGTGGTGGTCAGGATTGAACCTGGCACCTTCTGCAGGGAAAAGCTGGTTCTCATGAACTGAGCTACAGCACCTCCTCTCATATGCCGGAGTTTTGGGGAGAAGGCTGACAAGAAGCTTACTTGACTATCCTGTTGCTTGCGTTGAACTGATGCTGCTCTAAAAGGTAGCATCGCCATTATGGAGGTCATGTTTCCACCCACCTTACCCTGCTCAGCTTGTTTCTGTTTAACAACAGAAAACTCCACATGTCTTTGAAACAATTGACCCCGGAGCTTCCTTCTGCTTGGAGCACTGGGGAGGGTGAAGCGCTATGGAAGTTTATGCAAGTCATTTGTCACAATTAAGGTCGCACCAAATGTTCTCCTGTTTCAGGGGTTTTTTTTTGGTCAAAAGCAATGCTTTCAGGGGAAGGAGAAAGAAAAAATATTTATCCTAAATAAGGAGAATTCACCTTATTTGAATCCTCCACTGTATTGCAATGTTCCTTATAAACAGAACACTAGGAGAACAGGCAATAAGCTAGCCAGAACATTCTCCCTGATGTTCTAGTTTTGTATGTGCAAGGAAGCCTTTCCAAAATAAATGGATAAATAGCGAGGAGAGGCTGCAACCCCTCCTGCTATCTGAAGTGGCCCAGTCCACACCCCTACACTCTTATCCAATTCCCACAAAGTGCTTATGCGATCTTCAAATGATGGTTTCTACAATACATGACTGAACAAAGTTCAACCATGGATGTGATTCTGCTGGATT